GTCTTTCAAGCTTGTTAGAATTGTACAAACTCTTTTTTTCTTTTATAAACTGTGTTTCCATGAATGTTTGCACATGTTTTAATAGATTTATGCATCTATTTTTCTAGGAAAATATAAAAACAACAACTATACTTTTGCACAGTATAGTGCCTGACTGAGTTTGCACAAACAGTCATAAGAAAACCTTTGCAAAGCTAGAGACCTGTATGCCAGGGTTAACCACAGAGATTTGCACGAACACAGGCTGTCTGTTTGGCACACGAGTTTAACCACAGAAGGCAAGACACTGGTTAACAGCGTTTATCAGGTAGAACACACTGAACTGTGCACTGCAGACTACAATAAAGTAATAATCCTGTTGTTTAGAAATACTAGATCCTTGTTTGCTCGTTGTCACATCAGGATGTTGGCTCTGTGGGTTGTTCTGCTTTTATCGGGCACTGAAGGTGAAGCAGAGCTGCAGGCTAACAAGATTAATAAGAAAATAAGGTTTGAGTTCCTGTTCCTGTTCTATCTGCTCAGACCACATTTCAGCTGTGTTCTCATGGACCTCACGTGTAGCAGTGCTTTGTCACCAGGTGGGGGATTGTCATGTGACTACATATGGAGGAAAAACAACTATTTGTGGTTGACGCTGCTGAAAGGTTATTGTCATCTCCTTTGACAGCCCTCCACAGTCACCGAGCTGCAATTTACTGGCTTCTCCCTCATTCAGCTAAACCTTTACACAGAAGGAGTGGTACTAGAGAGGTTTCCTAGTTACTTATTTATGACAATTCAGGTTTTCAGACATTTGGCTCTGTGCCTGTAGCAGCTTTGGTTTGGCCGACGCACACTGTTGACTATTTAGTTCCTGCTATGTCAGAAGCAACTCAAATGTGTTGGCAGAGGGAAAACTAAGAACCAGTAAGAAGAAGGTGGGGCATTGAAAGTTATAAATAAATACAGTGTGGAAACTGGTTTTGAAAAACATTAGGCATGATTTTCCAGGTTTTGCACAGTCTCTGAGGCTGTTTACACATGAACCTTCCTGTGTCCAACGAGTGTCAGGATAACAATCTGTCATGGTTCTGGGTTTTTGTAGAGTATTAGGTTTTTTATGATTTCATTACTTTTGGTTCTTTTTGATTTCATTTTTTTTTATTACTTGTTGTGTTTCTAGTTTCCCTCTGTCTTTCACATTTTGTTCAAGAGTTTTTACAAAAATTTTATTAACTTTATTAATACCTCGCCATTTTTAGAGACTCAAAATGCATTAGACAAAGTAAAAAAGTCTTAAATGTGAGGATTGTTTTTAAGTACTTAATGAAAAATCCTTCATAGTCAGTGACTGCCTGAAATCTAGCCATGGACATCACCAAATGCTGTGTTTCCTCCTCTTGAGATGTTCTGTTAGGCCTTTACTTCAGGCATCTTTAGCTGCTGCAGGCTCTGCTGGGTTCAAGAACAGCCTGATTCTTTGCACTGAGAGACTTGGGTTACTTTGCAGCATGATTTGGGTCCTTATCCATTTGCACTATGATGTGATATCTGATCAGTTTTGCAGCATTTTGTCTAAATCTGAGCAGAAAGTATAGCCCCGTACATTTCACACACCGTCCTGCTACTTGTACCAGCAGTCGCATAATCAATAGTCACTGATGATCGTATTTCACCGGTGGCCATACATACATGTGCCAAGACTCTGCTGCCACCATGTCTGACAGATAATGTGACAGACTTCAGATTATAAGATGTTTGTCCTTCTCCATACCTTTCTCTTCCCATCATTCCCATCGTTTACCTTGGTTTCGTCTAAATTCAAATTGATTTTAAACTTAGATGTTAGCTGTTGTGAAGGTGTTTTTCTTAGTCCACATTTCAATCACATCTTGATTGTCTGATGTGCCTCTGTTCAGAGACAAAATTGCAAAACAAGCAAGCAAGCAAGCAAGTAAGCAAGCAAACAAACAAACAAACAGTGCTTTTGTCAAACAAATTATGGAGCTAACTGTATTTCAACTGTATTTCCAGACTTGTGTCACCTTTTGCATTTTGAAGTTTTTGCATCAGTCAGTTCTTGGTCTTTTGGTCTGCCTCTGTGTCTTGCATTTGGGTCGAATAAAATCCACCTACTACCATGTTATCTTTTATTTGATTAATAGATACATACATAAAAGCCCATAAATGATTTTACAGCCATGTCACTGTATTTCTTGACTGGATGCACAGACTAAACCGATTGGTTCTTACAATCTGCTTACAGTGTTTACACTAAGCCTGGGTTACTTAGCAGCTCCGCAGCTGCAAAGTGATGGCTGCCAAATGTTTGCAAGTATTGCTGCACACATGAAAGATGTGCTCAGTCTGATAGTGATCTCATGTGAGTCACCATTGGTTGGGTCTGAAGACTGACACAAATCAGCAACTGCTATTTCCTACTGTTGTTACTAGTTCTTGTGCATCAGTTCTGACTCTGTTAAAGTGCCCATTAAGAGTCTGACAGTGCTGTAAGAATCAATCCATATTGCTTAAGTAGGCTACTCTTTTCACATGTTGACTCAGTAAATGCTAGGGTGTTGTTTCATCCTATCTAATCTCAAAAAATGAATGTGTATCTCTTAAAACAGAACCATTCTTTGGGTTAAATGGGTTTTTTTTGTACATGTAGTCTTTTCAGGCACTAGACTGTAACAGACGAACAAGCCTCCGATGATGAGAGTATAATCCGTTTTGCGGTGGTTGCATTGTCACCGAGGATGTGCATCAGCCAGCTCTCGGTGTGTGGCACAATGAGCCACAGGCAGCATTTCAGCTGACACTTCACGCCCTGCTTAATGATAAGACCACCGAGTCTGGCACCAGTGAGGTCCCCCTGTCTGATCAGATAAACGTGTGGTGAAGGGGTGAAGCGGATTTCTCACTTATAAACAAATTAATCTAAAAAAATAAAAAAGGAAACAACTAAACCCACAGGAAAGAAAGTTACAAATTCACTGGCACAGATGTTTCCTCTTTTCACCTCTTCATTCAGCTGCATCAGTTAAATCGAGTTATTGTAGGTTTGCACAGACACTTAGAGAAACGTCAGCTGAGGAACAGCTACACCACGAACTGTGCACACAATTTTAGACAGTTTTGCATACTTGATAAAATATCCAGTTAGCCATGTTTACCACTCCAACCCGCTTCCTTCTGTCTTTGGCTTGTAAAACAAACCGAAGCTTTAATCAGCTGTTACCAGGTTGTTTTCTCATGTAGTTGCTGCAACAATCTGATCAAGCATTAGTCAGCTGCTGTAAGTTTGATACAGAGAGGAAGCACGATCTTTCATCTGTCCAGAGTTCTCAAGAAGCCTTTGTAATTTCACACGGCATTCTCAACTTGTGAGCCTTGTGTAAAGAAGAACAAAAAGCAAAACGTGATTACACTGAAATATTCTGCATGATATTATGTGAAACTTTCTAATGTATACACATTTGCAAGATGCACTTTTTAAAAGCTTTTTATCTGTGTATAACATTCTTGAAGAATCTCAAAGCAAATTCACCCAAAGGTCAGACAGACTGTAAAATGTTCAGAGAAACTGGGACAAACCCGAGACTCTACAGGCCTCAATTAGCATTTAAAATGTTTATGACAGTTCAGTTAGAAAAAAACTGAACAAGTATGGCTTGGTTGGAAGGGTTGGCAGGAGAAGGACTGCTCTCTTTAAAAGAATATGCCAGCACTGCTCAGGTTTGCAAAGCTGCATCTGAACAAACCACAAAGCTTTGCACCAACGTCCACTGATGGAGAAGACCATGCACCATGTTTGGAGAAAACCAATCACAGCATATCAGCACAAACACCTCATACCAACTGTCAAGCACGGTGGTGGAGGAGTAATAATTTTGGCTTGTTATCCAGCAACATGACCTGGGCACCCAGCAGTTATTGAGTTGATGATGAACTCTGTATACCAAAGTATTCTAGAGTCAAATGTGAGGCCATCTGTCTGATAGCTAAAGCTTGCCCCAAATTGTGTCATGAAAGAGTGCAATGATCCCAAGCACAGCAGCAAATCTACAACAGGATGGCAGAAAAAGAAAGGAATCAAAGTGTTGCAATGGTCCAGTCAAAGTCCAGACATCAACCTGATTGAAACACTGTGGTGGGACCTTAAGACCTTTTTGTTAAACAAATAACAACAAATATGCAACACATTGTTGTTCATCTGACATTATCTTTAAAGAATTTCAGAAGGTGTGGACCAGGTGAGTTTTTAATTGGTGTCATTAGAACTCAAAGGGGTACTTTCTGTTTCGCTGCGCCTGTTGTAAAAGAAGAAGTACAGCAGGTAGATGCTGGGTGTGACTTGTGCAAGCATGCCTTCAAACGTGAGTGGTATTTTCATGTGTGCAAATGGTGAGATGCCCCGTGGGTTTTGTGCACCATGGTAACAAAGCCAAAAGTTGTTTTACATAATGTGTTTATCTTGAAGCTAATGAGACCGAATGAATGTTCTGGATGCTCTCGTTTAGAGGTATGTGTGGTGTCCTGTATCTGCAAGGGCTGGCTGGTTTATTCAAGCAAGGGGGAAGTTGAAGTGTCACTAACATCTGTATTTCAAATCAACACACAGTTGTCTTTTGAATATAGCCGTTGACGCTGTTTCCCAACTCACAGTATCTGATTTCCTATGATACCTCTGCATTATAGGATTTTAAAGGCAGACACATTTCCCTGCTCTTGTTTTTCCTAGTCACACCGATCTCAAGCCAAACCTAAAGTCACGCATTCTGGTGCTACTTCTAAGAAGCCACTGCATGCTGAACTTTGTCCCTCCCTACATGAAAGCTTTATAATCTGCGCTGTGCAGTCCACGGTCGTGTTGGCACAGCACTGTAAAGGCAGACTTTCTTCCTGAATCAAGCCTCTCTTCTCAGAAAGCTTCTCTCCGCCTGAGAAGTATTCATGCTGGACACTCCCCCAGCACCACTCCTCCTCCCCTTTCTCCTCCTCCGTCTCGTCACCTACAGCACATCAAAACCAGAGAGTGTCCATAATCGCCTCACTGCCGCATCTACGATCTCCATCGACTCGTCTGCGCATCTCTCTCTCTCTCCTGTGTGATTCATCCTTCAAACAAACTGTGAGTTTCCCCCTTTTTTTCCCTCTCCCCCCCCCACCCCAGTCTACGTGGGTGCACACGCTGTGGCATTTCTGCACTTTTAATTCTTGCATAATTTCTTTAGATCAAAGGTGAACAGCTCGCGATCTTAGCTGATAATCGCTGACTTTTCGCTCTCATGTAGCCAGGCAGGATTGGGACGTTTAAAGCGAGTGAAATTCCAGATGTGGAAAGTTTCCAGCTGTTGTTGTTTTTTCCCCCTCTTCTTTTTCTTCCTCTTCCTGAGTCACAGCAGCCAGCGAAAGGGGCGAAAAGGAAGGAGAGAACGCGTTAGAGTTCGTGATATTCGATATTCTTTCATATTGCTGCTGATCGTTATCGTTCGATTGAAATATAATTGAAATGGAAGCTTTAATTGGAACATAGACAGTGGTTGTTAAGAAGTTATGCAATAGACAAAAAAGAGGAAGAAGCAGTACAGACTTCATTCTTAACACAAATGCACTTTTTTAAAAATGTAAATATATCAGAGGTCTGCAGCAGACAAGCACAGCTGGTGGAAGATGCTCTTCCCAGCATATGACCCCCACCCCACCACACAGAGCTGCAACATTGTGCTCATTACTGTGTTACATTAGCGTTAATATCAGTGCATCTGTTTTCAATTCATGCACTTTATGGGGTCTGGAGGTTTTGTCCGTGATGCAGCACTTATTGATCAGCCTCTTACAGGAAGTCCACTCAATTTCTTTCCTTCTTCACTGAAAGCTGAGCTGCAGGCCGCTCGTTTAAGACACAGCACTGCAAACATCGCAGTAACAATAAGTGGTGATCATGATGCTGATTCCTTGGATTGTGTTTGTTTGGTATGATTTAAACTCTCAGTAACATTAAATATTTCAGCCTGCGTGATGAGCACTGTGGTTATCAGATGAAGGGGATGTAAATTAAATGCAGGTTTATGGTTTTACAGCAGTGGAAGTGGACGTGGTCAGAGCTGCGTAGTTAGAGAAGTCTTAGTCTGAGAGTACAGCTATAATCCTGCAGCCACACTTGTAATCAGGCTCTTCTGTAATCTGGACAAACTAGCAATCTGTACCGTATAATCTCTCAATTTCTTTGGAGCAAACGTTCAACCTTATCACAATATTCATTTATTTAAGAAGAACCTCCTGTGAGTTCCTGGACTCAGTGCTTCAGCTTTCTCACTGTGTTTTGTAGCAGTCCAGACGTTATGTGATGTTATAGAGTCACTCCAGTATCAGCCATAAAAAATATGATAGGAGTTTATGAAGTAAGCAATACAGGTCACGCAGCACTGTCAGCCTGGAATGTGGTATTGTTTATTTTAGTGGAGATATGATTTTCTGATTAAATGTGTGCTGATAATGGTACAAAGTTCCTGCATCAGTCATTTCTGAAAAAACGTAACTTTTTCTCAGACTCTGGTGTCACAATATGCTGCATATATTATGACTTTTTAGAAACAACAAAGGGTTTCTCAGATCATTTAGGGTTTTTTTCAATGAGTTTTTGCAAAATAAATAAATAAAATATGATACTAAGCAGAGAGTCATTGATGTACGGTTCATGGCTAATATGATTATTGAAAGTTGGTTGACAGACGTCGAGCAGCAGTGCGTGATATAGTTAAAGAACCTGTCTTTCTAGTTCAGTGTTTACAGTGAGTGTCCAAATATGGAAGTGGCTTAGAGGAGAGATAGAATGTACATTTATAAACTGCCGTGGTTAGCCTCCCTACCACCACCCCCTTCCTCCATTGGTGTTAAGACACAATCTAGCGTTTGTTGTTCAGGAAGCACATCATAAATTTGGTTGCACAAAATAACTTTTGCATTGTGTTTGTGAGCGCTCTCAGCAGCGTCTGCTGTTTCTGTCATTCTCAGAATGCTTTCTGTGGCTTTCCAGGAGTTCAACTGCAGCCACATTTTGCATGGCAAAAACATTCAAATTATTTTCTGTGTCTCTACCTGGCTTCCTTTAACTTCAAGACTATTTACTTCCTCTTTTTCTTTTTTTCTTTTTTAATCTTCATCGTGTCTCAGAGCATCATGGTTAGCCATAAGGAGTTTGAAACTGCAGGGAAGAAGCCAGGGCTGCAGGTGTGGCGTATCGAGAGCATGGACCTCAAGCCGGTTCCCAAAGCCCTGCACGGCTCCTTTTACACCGGAGATGCCTACCTGCTGCTCTTCACCACCTCAGCCCCATCATACAACATTCACATGTGGTTGGGTAAGACATGGATGCTGCAAACTGCAGTATTGCACTTTACTGAGGCTTCTGCTTAGTTTTGTTTGATTGCACCAAAGCAAATCTGTTTTCATTCCAGTTTCATGATAAAGTATGATGTTTGGCATTTTCCTCGGCTACAAACTTAAGTGATATATTCAGAGTTTTAAAAAGTCACTTCCTCTAGAGCTGCTGCGTTTCCCTGCAATTTGTAGTACTTAAACTCACAAACAGACAGGTGTAGCTTTGGGTTTAATGAGAGCAGATACCCTTGCTTCATCGTGAGCTTGCACCACAATAGCCTGGTTTTGGAAACTGCTTTGGGTTTTTAGATCTTAGACCTGAAACATCCTCCCTTGTGTGAGGAGCTTAAAGTAACAGGAGTTTGTGAAATTCCTCTTGCCTGCACAGTTCCCTTTTTGTGGCTTAGAATTAAATTATGAGTGAACAGAACGCTCAGTGATGTGCAACTTTAACCACCCTGAACAATGCAACGAAGGAAAAGCCTATACTCCACCCCAAACGTTTTCTTTTTTCCTTTTGGTTGCATAACAAAAACAGACACATAAAACAAACTGCTGGATGACTCACATCTGGAATGCCCCTGCAGATCATTAGAGACGAGTACTAGTTTTTTGCAGGTTTGCGTAGTTCCCTGCCAGTCTGCATCCAATGCCATCCAACCATCTGCAACACATTACAGTCTTTATAACACTGGGACACAATTAATCCTTCCGTCTGGGATCAATGTTAGTCAGATAAAACTTGTGGAATAGTTTTATCCATGTTGTGTGCCATCTGACAGTAATAACAGGATACAGAGAGGCTCTGCTGCTCATGTGGTTTATGCAATTATAACCATGACTCCAGTCCTGACTCAGAGGGCGCATAAGGTTACTGCTTGCACTAAAGCGCTGCAGATTTCTCTGTAAGAAGCTTGAGTTTTGAGCGTGAATACGAAGCAGTTGCAGGACTGTTTCTAGAACTAGCCGGTTACAAACGTCTATTTTCTGCAGGGGATGAGTGTTCACAGGATGAGAGTGGAGCGACAGCGATCTTTGCCTCACAGCTGGATGACTTCCTGGGTGGTGGCCCGGTGCAGTACAGGGAGGTGCAGAACTACGAGTCCAACACTTTCCTGGGTTACTTCAAGTCAGGCATCAAGTACCAGGTGAGCTTTATGGAAGTTGGGATCTTCATGCAAACTACAGGCGACTCTGACAATCTGTGACTGAACAAAGCAATAAAAAAGATTTTTGCCAACCAGTCATAAGATACACATTTTGCTCTAACAACTGACAAATGACGAAAACTGGGGTGAGGTGGGTTGCCAAGGGGGGTTACTGACTGGTCACCGCCAGCCACCGCCAGAAAAATTGAGCAACCACTCGTCAGCTCGGTGGGGAATACACATTTTTCCCCCAAGACCGGTGGTTTTAAGGGGCTGTGACTGGAGCATTATTTGGCTTCCCCTGTATTATTTATTATTATGTCGCACGTGCAAAATGGCAGACAAGTTAACGTCACACCAGGTTTCATTTTGACATGTCTCTGAAGAAACTTTGATAAGAAAAACAAGCATTATTTTGACCTGAAAATCATGCAAAGCTACACTAGCAGAGTCCAAAAAGTGAAGCTGGTAATGAGCAAGTAAATGACAGGTTCCAGTCAGCTATTAAAAGGCTATTGATAGGAGAAGAGGAACCGCTGGTTTAAATTAGTAACTAAATAAGGGACATTTCTGTAAGGATTTCTTTTTTTTCTGCTCCCAGTCCGCTATTAAATAACAGAACCATAAAAATATATAAATCCTGTAAACAGTGAGAGGTGTGATGACTAATGTTTTAAACATCGAACAGTGATCTGCTGCAGAACTCTGTTTGACTGAAACATGTCTGCAGTGTTAATGATTACCAGCATCCTGTGAACTTTGCTGTTGAGATGAGCTGATGATTCTGAAGTTCAAAGAAATCATAGCATTCCCCCTTTTTTCTATATCTCTCTGATGGTGTGTCTGATGGACTGATTGATTATAACCTAGGCAACCAGCCTCTGCAAATAAGGATACTGAGAAACACAAGCTAAACCACTTTTAACAGCCATCTGTTTCTCATAACCCCAACCCCCCTTTGTGGCTTTAGTTAAATGTAATTAGCCCGAATGCTTGCTTACTACTCTTTGGAGAGTTCTGCTCTGCATATGTTGCAGAGTCCAAGCACACTGGCTGTGTTTGGGACACAGCGAAGCCGAAACAGAACCAAACCTCACATTCTCGACAGAGCTTTGGTAACTTCACTTTCAGTAAACTATTCTGACAATAAACAGAGCATGCGTTGTTGCCACGGAAAAAATTGCTACCATTTGACCAATAACAGGATGAATGTGGTTTTCATTTGGTGGTCAAAGTAGCCACGCCCCCCGAGAGTCTAACAACACTCTAGTCATCTGACCTCAGCAGCAGAGGATGAGTCACTGACTCTTCTGGGTGGTTTTTTTTCAAAGTCTAATTTAAGCAAGTTTCCTTTGTTGTTGTTTTCACCCATATTTCAGTAAAAACCACTTTAGTCAAATTCCATTGGCGGTAAAGCTCTGGATACACAACAAACACAGCAGAGGAGGCATCAGTGGTGGCAGGCATTACACCGAGTAAGGTCAGAAAGAGCATACAAATGAGAAACTGGGGTGAGGAAGGTTGTAAAGTAGCTTGCAGAAGGATCATGTTGAGGAAAATCACATTATGAGATTTTTAAAAGTCTACAAAACACAAACATTTAATTCAACTTCTATTTCAGTTCATTTTTTGTGAGGTTATAAACTGACAAGGATCATCATGTTGTTCTTCTCCAGCAGAGGGTATTTCTGTTCATTTGCATGTTTTCTAAATACTTGCTTTGTTTATTGGCTCTACCAAGGACGGCACATTACGTGATAATCCCACCCGCCAGGTACAACGGCGTGTTGCACACAACAATCTTCATTTTATCCTCAGTCATCATGTTAGTTTCTTTTCCGCCCATTGTCTTTGTTAACTCTGAGTGATGGGATGTGGTTATGCCATTAACTGACAGCATGTCTTAAGGAACCAGTTGTTCCTTAAGATTTTACAGTCCTGTGTTAAACTCATTTCACCGTCAGCTGACTCCACACGTCCTCCCCTTGAACATTTGTGACTTACCTGGTCATTTGGCCCGTGTGTAGTAGTTGTAACTAAAACTGCAGCTCAGGTGTAAAGATAGCTCATCTTCTCTTAAATCAGCTCATCCCCCGCATTGCTTAGATTTGAAAGAATATTCACAGGATAAAACTTAATGCGAATCACCATTGGATTTCACAGAAAGGAGGTGTGGCCTCAGGTTTCAAACATGTAGTGACCAACGGCGTGGATGTAAAACGCCTGCTGCACGTTAAGGGTCGCAGGGTCATCAGAGCAACCGAGGTGAATATGTCCTGGGATAGCTTCAACAAAGGAGACTGCTTCATCATTGACCTGGGAAAGGTGAGCTGTTCTTTTTTTATTTGTGTGTGTGTTTGCTACTGTATGTACAGAGTGCAGTTTAACCTCTACAGTTTCTGTGAAATAGTTAAGGCTTTCACATCTTTAAACCTCCTTTCCCGGGTTCTCCCCTCCTGCAGGACATCTATCAGTGGTGCGGCAGTGAGTGTAACCGTTTTGAGCGGCTGAAGGCCTCCGAGGTCACCATCGACATCAGAGATAATGAGAGGAACGGCAGAGCCAAAGTGCATATGGTGGAGGAGGGGGACGAGCCGGCTCCCATCATAGAGGTCAGACACGCACATTCCTCACTCGTCTCCCTCTTCTAGCAAATGTCACCACACTTTAACCTCAGAGGTGATCACTTGAGAGCAGGAGCTTTAAGTGCAATTAATGCATTCGACAGACTTAGTCAGTGTGGGAACGACGGGGCACAATGCTGCCCTTTGTAAGTGCTGCTCATACGCCAGCTCTGTGCCAGGGCAGCTTAGTAAACACTTCCTTTACAACAAGATGCCTAATGAGATAGAGAGAGTTAGGGGAGGGCTGGTTTAACGAGCATACTTTCAATTTATAGAGATTTTTTTTTTATCTGAATAAAGCTGTGTTTATATTTGCACTAAAAAGCATTTAATCAGTGCTAATGATGATAAACCTTTAGTGATTAATGCCCTTGATTGTTGTTTAGGTTCTAGGACCAAAAACCTCCATCGCCCCCAGTACTCCGGATGACGACAAGGTGGAGACTTCCAACAGGAAGAAGGCTGCCCTCTACATGGTGAGAAGCACAAGTGACAGTCAAATAAATGTGAACACCCTGGCTTTGATACAAGGGTGGAAAGATTTCATAGCAAAAAAGAAATCAGTACCTGATGGGGCCTCTTTCCTTTTCTTTTAGATCTCAGATGCATCTGGGTCTATGAAGGTGTCGTCTGTGGCTGCATCCAGTCCCTTCAAACAGGCCATGCTGTCTCCGGAGGAGTGCTACATCCTGGACAACGGGGTGGACAAGACCATCTTTGTGTGGAAAGGTGCAGCAAAACATTTTTGTGATAACACTTCTAACATTGTGCTTTTTTCTTCTTCTTTTTGCACAAATTCTAACAAAGAAATGATTGGAAAGCGTGTGTTTACACCTTTTTGGTCTCTCTGATTAAGGCTACACATGTGAAAGAGGTATATTTAAATGCTGCTGGTTTTATTTTTGGCACTGCTGAACAATAACAGGAAATCTACAGCAGTAATTTTGTGTTTTATGACTGCACTGCAATTAGCGTCTTTACGTAAATATCCGCAGATATTTCTCACTCTGAATAACATAAAGGTGAATTACACCGCCTTTGTTTTATCTGATTCCAACAGGCCCTAAGGCCACTGTGTCGGAGCGTAAAGCAGCCATGGCTGCAGGTCAGAAGTTCATCACTGATAAGGGATACAACAAAAATACAACGGTAAAGCCAACATGTACTTAAGTAACTTAGACAAAAAAAAACAACAATTGTAAATCCCACAGTGCAGCTAACCGTAAAGCCAAATCTCTGTTTGACTTGCAGATCCAAGTACTTCCTGCAGGTGGCGAAACGTCTCTCTTTAAGCAGTTCTTTTCCGACTGGAGGGATAAGGATGAGACCACAGGTCCCAGTAAGGCCTACACTATTGGCCGCATAGCCAAAGTGGAGCAGGTTCCCTTTGATGCCTCTACCCTACACACAAACAAAGCCATGGCAGCGCAGCACGGCATGGTGGACGATGGCAAGGGCAAAGTCCAGGTAGGAGGGTGTTAAAAAGTGAAACAATAGCACAGGTAAACACAGCTGTAAGGTTTTGGGTTTTTTTAAAGATTCGGTCTGGTGTTCTAGATCTGGCGTGTCGAGAATGGTGCAAATGTGCCCGTGGATCCCTCCTCTTATGGTCACTTCTATGGGGGCGACTGTTACCTCATCCTCTACAGCTACAGACAGGGATCACGGGAGCAGCACATCATATACACATGGTGGGTAAAACAGTAAAACATGTATAAAGCGTATAATCTCTTTAAATTAGTATGAAGTAAAAGCTGTGGCAGAGTGTGCCACACCCTGTCTAAGATCTCTCTCTCTATCTCACACACTCACACACACAAACGCACGAGTTAATGACGTGTTTCAGACTGTGTTGGTGCTACTGTGTCAGGCAGGGGCTGAAGTGCACACAAGACGAACTGGCCGCTTCGGCGTTCCTCACAGTGAAGCTGGATGACTCAATGGGAGGAGCCCCAGTTCAGGTTAGAACCTGACCCACTACACACCTCAACATCACATGCACTAAAGAAGTGTGTGTAATCACAGAAAGACCCTGTAATGTAATGTATGACTTAGAAATGTTAAAGAAACAATCTAAATAATGTGAGCAGTTATTGTATTAGCGTAATTTTTCTCCCTAAATGACTGACATGAACAGATAAAGGTGATATGAGATCCTTCATTGAGTAAGAGCTTATGGCTCTCAAACTAACCTTAATACATATAACGTTTACCTTTCTTTGAATCTACTCATCACACTTCCCACATAACTAGTACGCACCATTTTTAACTTATGGGCTGTGTAACAACGACTAAAACAAAAATTTTCTGCCTCTCTTCCGATACTTCAAATTTATTAACTATTACAGAGGATTTAGTGTAGCTGATGAAAACTAATTGCCTCATAACAATCCCATAAGAAAGAAAAAAACACCCCCCAGGATAACCAGCAGAGGGCAGTGTTTCTATAATTTTTATTTTGATCCGATCCAACCTGCAGCACGTTTTAATAGATAAGTTGCCATAACTACAAGAATTGCATTAAAACGTGGCAAAACCTTGACCCTCAGTTAGTGCTGGTTATACATCAAACTCTCAGCCATACTGGAGACATTAAGACATTTCTGAGATGTTTTCAGCTGATTTTCTCACACAACCATGCCAACACAGCTGATATCATTGAGTATTTTCTTTAAAAATAAACTAAAGTATTTAAAATATTAGATAATAATCACGCTATATTGCTATTTAGTTAATAATTTTCAAAATTTTCCAGTTGTGTTGCATTTATATAAAAATCACTTAGCTGAAACTCAATTTAATTACAGTGAATATCAAGTGAGCATTGATCTATTTCAGTCTTGTTATTCCTGCACATAGTGATACGGAACCTTAGATTACCACTTCACTTTGGTGTTGGTAACCCTAAGAACACAATCTGTAGCTAAACTGGAATAACTGGATTAGTCATTGCCTTTGCTGGTGAATTTTGTTAATACCCACAGGTGAGAGTGTCACAGGGTCAGGAGCCTCCCCACCTGATGAGCATCTTCAAGGACAAGCCAATGATCATCCACAGTGGAGGAACGTCACGCAAAGGTGGACAGACACAAGCCGCCAGCAGTCGCCTCTTCCACATCCGGCAGAGCTCCTCCAATGCTACCCGTGCGGTGGAGGTAAGCTGGTTTGCAACACACTGTATATGTGTGTGTGTGTGTGTGTGTGTGTGTGTGTGTGTGTGTGTGTGTGTGTGTGTGTGTGTGTGTGTGTGTGTGTGTGTACAAGAGAGTTCTTATTTGCTCCTCTCACTTGTGTGGTTCCTCAGGTCCAAGCTACTGCCTCCAATCTGAACACCAACGATGTTTTTGTGTTGAAAACGCCAAGTGGCTTGTTTGTGTGGCGTGGCGTGGGCGCCAGCGATAAAGAGATGGAAGCAGCCAAGCATGTGGTGGCTTTCCTGGGTGGTAGTCCCAGCAATGTGTCAGAGGGCAAGGAGCCAGGTGAGTCCCCAACATAAAAGTCAGAACTTTCCTTGTTTATTGCTCAAAGAAACTAACTCTGCGCCTTTTCTTTTATTTATCTGAAGATAAAAAAGGAGGTATTTTATGGGAAATATTTAATCTCATTCTAATTCTTTTGATTTTGATTCACAATTGAGTGATAAAAGACTGTTTGGCTGTTTTTAAGTTACTTACAAAATGTAAAAGTGTATATAAGCTAAGAAATTACTTATGTAAAGCCATCAAATTCTACCTTTATTTGCCATTCGCATTGATGCCTGATGGCGTCAGTGATAGTGAACACTAACATTTCAGGTCTGATTATGATTACACTTAAAGAGCTGATGCATTTTATTAGTCAGGGGCCCAAAGAGGCTGTGATTCACTTCCTGTCCAAACAAATTAAGCATCAATTAAATGTTACGTGTAGCTAAAGTCGGTTGTGTATTCTTCTCTCACAGCTGACTTCTGGTCTGCTCTGGGAGGCAAAACGGATTACCAGACGTCAAAGAGTCTGCAGAGCGGGATCAGACCCCCACGTCTCTTTGGCTGCTCCAACAAAACAGGAAGACTCAGTGTAAGTCAGGGAGAAGAATGCAGCTCAAACTTCTTTTTTTTTTTAAGAGTCACATCTGGCTAAAGATCAGGCATTGTGACCATGTCCTAATATTGTGTTGGTCTCCCTTTTGCTCCCAAAAAAGCCCTGATCGGTCTAGGCTTGGATGTCAGTAGACCCCTGTGGTATCTGGCACCAAGATGTTAGCAACAGATACTTTAAGTTGTCTAAGTTGGGAAGTGGCACATCCATGAATCAGACTTGTTTGTCCAGCATATCCTACAGGATTAATATCTGGATAATTCGGAGTCAGCATCTCAAACTCGCTGTTGTGCTCCTCAAACCATTCCTGCTTTGTGGCAGGGTGCATTATCCTGCTGAAAGAGGCCACTGCCATCAGGGAGTACCGTTCACATGAAAGGATGCACATGGTCTGCAACAATGCTTAAGGATGTAATACGTGTCAAAGTAACATCCACATGGATGGCAGGACCCAAGATTTCCCAGTAGAGCATTGCCCAAACGTCACACTGCCTCCACAAGCTCGCCTTCTTCCCATAGTGTATCATGGTGCCAGGTGTTCCTGGTAAGTGATGCACACGCACGTGGCCATCCACATGAGGTAAAAGAAAACATGATTCATCAGACCAGATCACCTTCTCGCATTGCTCTGTGGTCCATTTCTGATGCTCACGAGTCCATTGTTGGTGCTTTAGGCAGTGGACAGTATTCAGCATGGACACCCTGACTAGTCTGTGGTTATGCAGCCCTGTGCACAACAAACTGTGATGCTCCTTGTATTCTGACACCTTTCTATCAGAACCAGCATGAACTTTTTGGGTAATTTGAGCTACATTAGCTTATCTGTTGGATTAGACCACTAGTGCATCAGTGAGCCTTGGCCACCAGTAACCCTGTCGATGGCTCACCACTGGTCCATCCTTGGATCACTTTTGATAGATACTGACCACTACAGACCAAGAACACCCCACAAGGGCCTCGTTAATCCTAATATAGCCCTCATCAAACTCACTCAGATCCTCACACCTGCCGATTTTTCCAGCTTCTAACTCTTCAGACAAAATGTTCAATTGCTCCCTAATATATGTGAAAAGCACGTAGACATCAGGACAACACAAAAAAGAACAAATAACAAACAGCAGACAGAAGTCGAAGAGACGGCCCGCCATGAACACTGGCGCCATCTTGGATGAGTGCCATATATCCCACCCACTAACAGCTGCCACAATGAAGAGATAATCAGTGTTACTCACTTCACCTGTCATTACTCTTAATGTTATGCCTGATCAGCGTATAGTGCTAATTTGGGAAGGACTGTGACATTTGAACGCACCTAAACCCTGCAGGCAGTCAGTCTGAGCTTCCTTTTGTCCCATCTCTCAGGTGGAAGAAGTTCCTGGAGACTTCACTCAATCAGATCTGGCCACTGATGATGTAATGCTCCTTGACACCTGGGATCAGGTGAGGTGATCTTTCTGGCATGTGTGAAATGTCACTTTCACAACTTTTGTAGGACATACTTTTAAAATTATGACTTTTTAAATCTCTCCTGTCTCTAGGTCTACATTTGGATTGGCAAAGATGCCAATGACGTGGAAAAGGAAGGAGCTCCCAAGATAGGTTTGTTACATTGCAACTGAAAAAAAGTTTAAGAAAAAGATGATTTCCAAAGCACACGCAAGATACTGTTTGACAGCATCTTGCATGTGAAACAGAATCAGAAAACTTATTGTGCTTAAGTATTTTAAGTTTCAAATCAAAAACCAAAAACTTTAAGATCAGAGGTAAACACCACCTCTCTTCACATTCTCATCCTCCATCTCTCCACCTGTCTCTTCCCCTCTCTTCCTTCTTGTTGTGCAGCAAAAGAATATGTGGACTCGGATCCCTCCGGTCGCAAAGGAATTCCCATCACCACCATCAAACAGGGAGCAGAGCCTCCAACTTTCACTGGCTGGTTCCAGGCTTGGGATCCCAAGATGTGGGACACAGATCCATTGGACCGAATCCGTGCCCGCTTCTGAACACAGAACTCCAGGCTCTCCGTCTATGTCTGACTCCTTACCTATCCTGCAGTCCCTAATGCTGTTTTTATTCATTTTAATTTCAATCCCCAAGTGCCAAAAACCAATGCTATCGTCGTTATCACCCTTAATAGCTGCCTCAGCAACAGTGCAGTGTACTGGGCTTCATAAACAGGAATGAATCACATCTGCATGCAAACGATGGCTTCTGCTAGCAGTTATGTTTAATTGATCAAAATGGTTGATTGATCATATCCAAAAGCCTTTACATGTTTAGCAAATACCCACTGAGGGCTCTAATAGGAATAAGAAAATACGAAAGCCATTTAGGCAGCTGGACAAATCCTCTGTTTCTGTTTTTTTTTACTGTTCTACTTGTGTGTTCAGAAGGAGCCATTCTCTCATGCTTTCCTTACAGTTTCTATATCAAAACAGCTTCCTTCTTTAGTACACATAAATGCATGGTGTTTTATGATTGATAATGGAAAGTTGTATACTTGCTATGAGTTGCACGGAGCTTTTTTTGGGGGGGGATCTGTGCTCATGAATTTAAGAGTCACACAATGGTAAATGGCCTGTATTTGTATAGTGCTATTCTAGTCCCTAAGGACCCCAAAGGGCTTTACACAATCAGTCACCCACCCATTCACACAATGGTATGTGTATGTCACATGTTAAAAATCTATTAAATGGGATTTTCACATAGATGACTTTTAAATAAAGCTCACAGTGTTTCAAACTTGTGGTTATTGAGCATTCTTGAGCCTTGAAAGCCAGTGCACTGCACCACCAGCGTATTTATTATTCTGCCTACAGAAATCGCAAGGTCTAACAGCCACATATCACTAAATGTCTCTGTTGGATGGGGAATAAAGAAAAATGGGATCTTGTTGCAACAGCAGTAGAAGTAGGAAGAAGAAATGAAAACACTGCTCACAGCTGCACTGTTCTTCAGGATGGCAACACACTTTAATAGAGGAAGTGGCCTTAGCACAATTTTTATTTTTTGCACTGCTGTGTATACTCACATTTGGGTACAGTCAATGTTATCTCCTCAAGGAGAGGACACAAACCCCGCTTCAGGGGGATCCAAAGCTAGTGTACTCCAAGTGCCAGCCCTTTGAAGCTTGGATAAATGGGAGGGTTGTATCAGAAAGTGCATATGGCATAAACTCTGCACCAAATCAAACAAACAGATCCAACCACTGTGGTGGATTCTTGGAAAATAAGGGAGCATGTGAAAGGGCCTTCTTTAGTAAAATACAACCTAAAATCTTTGGTTTACTGGAAAACCAATTTAAGATAAGATAGGATAAGGTAAAATAAGATAAAATACTGTGATTATGAGCACTGGTTACAAAAACACAAACATTTAAATAATTTCATATTAAAGACTGTGTGCGTGTGCCTAATAAGACTGAGGGCACAGGCCACCAAAGGTCCTGAGTACTTTATAGTACTTTATATATATTTGATAGAAATGTACCAAGGTCTTTATTAGCTATGTGTATAAGTCAGTGATTCTAGCTCCATGACAAAAAATGTGAGAGTCACTGCTTTAACCAAAATGTACAAGGTTATTAAACAAAAATAAACAAAAAACATAATTACTTTCATGAGGTGTGTTAGTCAATGGTGTCAGCAGTTGGTTGAGTGCTTGAATGTTTGGTGTAAAACCTGAATAATTATGGACAGGGCCAACCAAACAAATAGCATTGTTCTGGATGGACCAATAAATAGATGGAACGATAGACAGCTCTTGAGTGCCCCAGGGGGACTGCACGGGTGCCCAAGCTGCACCAATTTACACCTCCTACCAGGAACACACAAGGCAACATAGAGGACAAAAGGGGAAAACATAGAGCAGGCTTAGCGAAAGCAGCAAGGCAGAGTGCTCTCACACTAAGCCGTCAGAATATGAAGTATTTATTCTTTTCCTCACCACTATATTCAACACACCTAACAGCTTATTGGCCCTGGGCATGTATGCTGAGCAGTTTGACTGGCCAGTTGCTGTTTCCACCAGCGGATTCAGCGGTGCAACAAACTAGTTGAGACAAACCTTCACTGATAGGGTTTTATTTCTAAAAGTCAGTAATTTCACAATAAAAGTCTTTCAAACCACCTGTTTAACCTATGTACTATTTTCATCGGTTAATTTTGGAGTTGCTACAAAGAGTGAAGAAAAAGGATGAGTTTCCTGTTGTCACTGAGTGGTGCTGAGGTCTGAATCTGATAGTGATGGGTCGTTCGCGAACGAAATGGCTCTTAGAGCCGGCTCTTTGACGTGAACGACGCGAGCCGACTTCTTATCGCGAGCCATCACGTGGGTTTTTTTTTTTCTTTCTCTCACCCTCTCTCTCTCTCTCACACACTTTTTTCCCGCTTCACTTATGCTGGGCAGAGGGGGGAGGGGCGGTAGTTACACTGAGTAGCACAGGAACAGAGCCAGAGGGAGAGAGAGAGAAAGAGAGCCAGGGACAACAACGTCACATTAGAAAGGTATAGTAATCATCCACAACTATTTTCGGTTGCAGATGATAAAGGATTCAGAAAGTTTATTCATGCAGGTCCATATAACAGAGAATATGCATCTTCTTTTTGTTTTCATATTATAATTTATATTTAATTGTGTTGTGGTTTGCAGTGTTTTGTGTTGTTTTCACTTTAAATTTGTAAAAGGAAAAAGCTGAAAATTTAAATAGTTAAAAGTTGAAATGTGAATAGTTGATTTTTGTATTATATGATTTATTTATTACATTTTATGTGGAATGAAAAAATAAAAGTATATTTACAGTGGCCCCTACAGACAAAGCACATACAAACTTCAAATCACGTACGAACTCTGAAGCACGTACAAACTCCAAAACACGTAAAAACACGTACAAAAAACTCCAAAACACGTAAAAACTCCAAAACACGTACAAAAAACTCAGAAGCACATAAAAACTCAAAACACGTACAAAAGACAACAGAAGTGCTCCAGGATGCTGGGCGCAGTGTTGAGCTTTTGTTACCTAGTGGCTACACAAGCCAGCAAGTACCAACGTCCGGATTTGGTGTGTGGTAGTAACAGGTAAATTAACTTTTTTTTAAATTATTTGAATATATATGAGTGCCTGTGTATAAATACACAAACAATACACACATGCTTTCAATTGTGTAATTTAAGTGATCTAGTAGCTCTGCTTTGGAAGTTCAGTTCATGCTAGAAATGTGTTTTCGAGTTTGTACGTGTTTTGTCTCTAGGGGCCACCGCATATATTTATATATAAACATATACAAATAAAACCACTTTTTTTTACGTTAGTAATTCCTTTTGTGCATAATTTTATATTATTGTTAATAATAAATTAATTAAAGCAACAAAACAACCTGAAGAGCCGGTTCGGAGCCGAAAGAGCCGGATCTTTTTAGTGAGGCGAACCGAAAGAGCCGGATCTCTAAAAAGAGCCGGAAATACCATCACTAGAATCTGAGGGCAGCTCCTGAGTATTGGACAACAAATATTAATACTTGAAATTATTTCTTTCAAAGGATGTAAGCTGTATAGAGCACTGCACGGGTAACTTTGTGAACAATACCTCATTAAGAAATATTCAGACGATATCAGACATTTGTTCAACTTTGGCATAGCACAGTGACTGGACAGCCTTCATTTTATTCAGCCTTACTCAGTGCTTGTAAGTACAAGCAGGTAACTGCGCTCAGTGTTGGTTCAGTATGAGCTTCTGCAGGGTTTATTTGTCAAGAGCACGTTAACTTATTAAAAACGGCTGCTAGCTAGTACTGCTGGAACGTATTTAGGCTAACACGAGCTTAAATAAGCGGAGCTACGTGCAGTGATTCTGGCGTTAGTCATGTTAGCATATTAACAGGTGATGATCACGCTGGGTCCAGAGGTTGTACACTCGGAGATTAGAGCTCCGTTTCGCTGCAGTGTCCGTCCGTTTACTTTATATATTGGTGTTGTGCATTTTAAGAGAGTAAATAACGAGGCTAAATGTCCTTTCGCTTCCAGATACTGTATTTTACACCAACATGATGTGTATGTAAGAATTTATTAGCGGTTTAAGTCCGGAAGCCTGTGCGTGGGAGTTCAAAACACAGACAGTGCGCATGCGTGCGATGTGACGAAGCGAACGCTTTGATCGCCTGACTGTGACGTAGCGAACGCTTTGACGTGCCCGTGACGTAAAAGTCAACTGAGCCCTTATATAGACCCAGGACTCACAATCTACTACTAAGCGTTAAGTAAATGAGATGTACAGACCGCGATCTTCGCACTCTACAAACTTAGATTTTCAAAGTCCTTCAAATAATTTTATTGAAACAGAAACGTCCACAATGGCTGAATTGCAGACTACAGGCTCTATCCCCATTATTCCCGAGCATATTTTACCTGCTATAACCAAGTGTTTCGATCAGTTTTCCCAGGTACAATGGGGACTGATTGAACAGGGAATCTGGGACTCTGATCTCCAAGCATTACTGGCTGATATGATAATCGAAATCATTCAGATAGTTTCTACCGGCATCCTGAAATCTGCACTTCCCACACTTCAGGAGTTAATGACAGACGAATTGTCCCAAACAGATATCAGCATACCTGTGGCAAAAATAGCTCCGTCGCTGGGAGACGCTCTTTCAACCAGCATTAGCATCGCTCTTAACATCCCCCATGAAAACTGTCCAGTAAGAAGCTGACAAAACTGATTGAATCGGAGATCTCAGAAAAGGTCAACTCAGCTGTGACTCTACTCTTAGACAACCCGGATTTACGGTCAGATCCGGCCGTTTATGTCAGTGGAAAAATGACAACCACAAAAAACCTTCGACGCATAGTCTCTCACGCTGCCTCGTGTTTGGAAAAATGTGCAGGTAAGCTAAGCAGCCAGTGCATGTCAAAGGGCAGCGCAGCTAGTTCCCTTAGCCCGTCTGATTCAAGAGCAGAGAGTACTGAATCAAAGATCTCTAAGAAGGCAATGGTTGTTGAGGAGGTGAGCAGCGCTCTCACCAAATGGAGCACAGACACAGGAATCACAGAGGACAATAAGGATGAAAATGACATGACGCCTGTAGAGAAAAAAGAAAGTGAAACTGGAGAGATGGCGGAAAGTCGTTCCAGCACCCCAGGTGCTGATGTTGTCAATGCAATACTTGACACTCTGAAGTATTCGAATGCCGAAGATGACACAGAAATAGAGAAGTGCACAGATGCTGAGACAGCTGAAAGTCTCCAGCGTCCCAGCACGTCAGCAGAAATAGCTGCAGCTGACATTGTAAACACAATAATTGATAATCTGCAGTCTTTTGATGGTGAAGATGTCACATCTAGTGAGAAATGTGACTCACGCCAACCTGCTTTTAATGTGCAGTTAATTATCCAAAAGGTGAAAAACTTTTTCGCGTCATGCATCCCATCCAGAAAAAGCAATGACCAAAAGCTGCACAAAGAGCACTTCTGCGCTTTTGCCAAAAAGCAGTTTTACAAAATGATCAGAGAGATAAAACACCTGGTGAAGAAAAACAAAAGGTTCTTCATCTGTCTCCACGAACCGGTCAAGTCTCTTGATGATCAGAGAGCAGATTGCATGGACAACTACAGTTCTTTTTGTAGCTATGTAAACACACCAGTGATGGATAGCTGGTTTAAAAGTTCTTCCCCAGTTGATTATAACACCATCAAACCCATTCTTGAACAAATGTTTAATAAATTAAACGGGCCAGAACATTTTA